CTCTGAACATGTGGGGTAGCTATGGGTCACAATCAACTCAACAGCAACTGGTGGTATCTACACACACACACATACACACATGCATATATATTGGTTATTGTTGTTAGATGTCTATCAGTTCCAACTTATAGCCACGCAGTATTCAACAGAACAACACACTGGCTGGTCCTGGGCCACATTCACAATCATTGCTATGTCTGAGCCCATTGTTGTAACCCCTGTGTCAATCCATCTTACTGAGGGTCTTCCTCTTTCTCAATGACCCTCTACTTTACTACTCTCACTGCCGTCCAGTCAGATCCGACTCATAGTGACCCCTCCTTGGGTTTCTGAGGCAGTATCACTATGGAAGCAGATTGCTAACCTTTCCTTCCGAGGAGTGGCTGGTGGGTTTGAACCCCCAGCCTTCTGGTTAGCAGTTATAACAAATGACATATGACACAGGCGTTGGTTTAAAACTATCATTGGCTACTTAAACTTGCTTCCATCCTGCAGACCACAAGTCATTAAGCAGACATAAATCTGTAACTTGGGAAGCAAATCAGTGATCAAAACGTACTGTCTTATAAGTTACTAACTGACTATGAACTGACACGCTTTCTGGTCAGCTTTGACAATCACAAACCCCAAGCCTTTATGGTTGTTTATTTCTAGACTTTACCCATCCCAGTGGATCGTAACAGATTATGGATAACATTGCAAAGAATGGGAATTACAGAACTCTTCATTGTGCTGATGAGGAACCTGTACATAGACTAGGAAGCTATCATTCGAACAGAACAAAGGACAAAGAACTGCATAATTTAAAATCAGAAGGGTATGCATCAAGGTTGTATGTATCCTTTCACCATTCTTATTCAATCTGAATGCTGAACAAATAACCCGAGAAGCTGGCCTATATGAAGAAGAACATGGCATCAGGATTGGAGGAAGACTCATTAACAACCTGCAATATGCAGATGACATGACCTTGTTTGCTGAAAGTGAAGATGACTTGAAGCACTTACTGATGAGGATTGAAGATTACAGTCTGAAGTATGGATTACACCTCAACATAAAGAAAACAAAAATCCTCACAACTGGACCAATAAGCAACATCATGATAAATGAAGAAAAGTTTGAAGTTGTCAAAGATTTCATTTTACCTGGATCCACAATCAACACCCATGGAAGGAGTAGTCAAGAAATCAGATGTAGTATTGCACTGGGCAAATCTGCTGCAAAAGACCTCTTTATAGTGTTAAGGAACAAAGATGTCACTTTGAGAACTAAGGTGCACCTAACCCAATCCTTGGTATTTTCAATTGCCTCATATGCATGTGAAACCTGGGCAATGAATAAGGAAGACTGGAAAAGAGTTGATGCCTTTCACTTGTGGTCCTGGTGAAGAATATTGAAAGTACCATGGACTTCCAGAAGAATGAACAAATCTGTCCTAGAAGAAGTGCAGCTGGAATGCTCCTTAGACACGAATAGCCAGATTTCATCTCGCATATTTTGGTCATGTTGTCAGAAAGGACCATTGCCTGGAAAAGGATATCATACTTGGTAAAGTAGAAGGTCATCGAAGAAGGGGAAGACCCTCAATGAGATGGATTAACAGTAGGTGCAGTGATGGCTCAAGCATAGCAAGGACTGTAAGGAGGCACCGGACGGGGCAGTTTCTTCCTGTTGTACATAGAGTCCCTATGATTCGGAGCCAACCTGATGACACCGAACAGCAATGATAGCAACAATAGAAGGCAACAAATCTGTCTTCTGATCTAAACAATCTTCCATGATGTCTCTTTATTTTCTATCTTTGTGTATGGATCTATACCAACAGTTCTTTGTGGTAATGTAATTCTGTCTCCTCTCACTATCTCAGATCTAGAAATAGTGAGTTACTTACTGTCTGACCCAGATGGTCTACAAATGACTTTTAAACTCTTCCTTGAAAGGAAAGAAAGAAGAAAGAAAAGAAAAGCTAAGGTTGCTTTAGACACTGCTGTTTAACTAACATGGTGAGGCCTATTTTAATGATTATTTTGTGAAATTACTTTTGAAATATGGTATCTTTGTACTTAGAAACTAATACTCGCCACGCTAACTGGGAGAATCACTCTAAGTTTTAGAATGGACTTTGGCCAAAAGAAATCAAATCTTTCCTGACCTGAATTAAGAGTTGTATCTGGTATCTAAAGGATGGTTTGAGACATCTGCCTGTTTTGCTGGCATTCATTGGGTGTGGGGGTGGGGAGGGGGCATGGACTCTGGAGTCAGACTGCTTGGTTCTACCATTCTGGGCAAGATTCCTAACCCCTCTGGTCTTTTCATCTGTAATATGAGGTTAAATTACAATAACGGCCTTACTAAAATGTTGGGAGAATTAGTGAGTTAATTGCATAAATGAATCAAGTGCAGAGAACAGAGCCTGGTGTGTAGTTAAAGTACTCAGTACATTTTATCTGTATTATGTGTTGTTCTGGTTACCTAGTGCCACTCTGACAAGAAAATACCACAAATGGGATGGCCTTAACAAACAGGAGTTTATTCTCTCACAATTTGGAGGCTTTAAGTCCAAGTTCAAAGTGCCAGGCTCTAGAGGCTGCATGAAAGCCCCTCAACCTTGGGGCCCAGCTCTGCCTCCTGCTCCCGGCCCACTGGAGCTAGAGGCATTTCTTCACTCAGACAGCCGCTGTCTGCTGAGGCTGAGAAGCCCCAAGGTTGACAAGGAAAAAAGGCACAGTCCCGATGTTACCAAACCACACAGCAGGCCATTAACTTAAGTCCATTGTAAGTCCCAAGGTCAGTAGAGCATAGCAGGTTGCTGAGCCTTACAAAAATGTTAGGCTACATGCAGGGTCCAAGAGTGCTATAGGCTAGAGACCATTCTCAAAACTTCTTATATACAGGAAGCAGACCACATACCCAAAGGCAGCTACTCAGCTGCTCATAGTAGATTCCACCATGGAGTTGATTACCAGTCTCATCATGGGGAATATACTACATCCAGCTACCCAGCCACTCAACCAGGCCTAGCCAAGTTGACACACAAACATAACCACCACATGTGTCTTTATCCACCTCACAAACTACCAGGCATCAGGGACACTATTTACTTTCTGCCAAAATGCTGTTGTAAGGAACCTGGACTTGGACCCTAAGAACAAATAATTATCAAGGAAAGTGGGCCATGCCTAAGCAGTGAGGTTAAATTCAGACAGATGGAGTCTCTTAGAGCCCGGTTGTCCTGTGAAGTACCCAAATCCAGTAGGAGGACTCAGCCTTCCCTAAATATACACATTCCAAAGTTCGCTCGGGAACCGGGGTCAACCAGCAGGAAGATGAGGTGGCGGGGACGGGGGTAAATTAGCAGATCTTGCCCTTAGGAGATCCGGGTGTGTTGATGGTCAGGGATTTGGAGGTGGGACCCTGCACCCAGGATGAAATAAATCGTTTAGCAGAAAAACCTCCCTTGCGCATTTCTTGGCGCCCTGACTTGCCCTGTTCAGACTTTCTTTAACTACCCCAAACCTTCCCGACACTGGGTTACAGGATCCCAGAGTCTGCCCAGTCTTGTTCTGCTGCTATGATTTACATTCCAGAAGGCTTAGTTTGTTGACGCCATCTGTCTGCCCTCAAATTACAATTGATCAACTCATATCCCTGAGGATACCTTATAAGTCTTCTCATCCCTACTGAGGCTTCTGGTCAACCCAAGACAGAGAACCTTCATTTTCCAAAGGGAAAATGTAAGTACAGAGAAACCAAATTATTTGTTTAAGGAAATGGGGAAATAGCTAGAAATTTAGCTGAGCCAGAATTAGAACCTTCAGATCACAATTATATCTAAAATATAGTAATCAACAAGACTTCATTCTTAAATAAAATGTTGCTTTAATAAAATATTGCACATATATAGTTTTCCTTTTAAAGATGTTATAACAGATGGTTGGTGTGAATTATAATATATGATGTACTATATAATTAGTAGCAAAAACAAAGATTCTAAAATAAATAGGCTCCAGCATTTTTTTTTTTTTGAGACCATAGTCTGCAAATGAGCTGAGATTGGAAAAGAAGTAAGAAGGAGTTGGCTTCTACTCTAAGGACATGCTCTTGGATGGCTTGGAAGATATAAAGGAGTCATAAATATCCTCCAGGAATCAAAAGTAACATTGGAGTGACCTTCTGGAGAGAGGAATCCTGACCCTTCTCCTTGCTTTTTTGCCAAGATTTCAGAGCTTCAAACATGCAAAAGAACCACCATGGAGTTGCCCATCAGGCATCTGAGGATCCAGCAAGGCTGGTGAGGAGCAGTGGAAAATTCTGGGAAAAGCAGAGCTGGGCTAAGGAGGCAGATCTAGTGTGATAGAGAAGAAACTGACTGTGCCTGAATGTTCTGGTCTGGAACAGTATCTAGGTCACTGCAGCCATTCAGAAATCTAAGTAAATACAATGACCATGGATGTATAATAGAAAAATGTAAGAAAGAACATTATCCCATTAATCACCTATTAATTACACTTAAAGTTGATCTACCATTATTGAGAGCACCTTCTCTAAAGATTCAAATATAATTGAAGCCATTTAGATATTGTTTGACATAGAATTTGCATGAAGATGCAAAATACTAAAAAATTCTCCTTCATCCATCCTTCTTTCCCTATTAAATCCACTACTCCATTTTCCTTTCCTTGGTCAGGTTGAGCACAGGTAGAAAATCAGTTGGAACCCCCCAGCCTAGGGTGGTGAGCTGGCCCTACCTGGAAGTCTGACTTGTAGAAGAACATCTACAAGTATCTGACAGAAGAACAAGTCTTCAGAAAAAAATCCAGAACTGCCTCAACTTTTAACAGTCAAGGCTCTCTCCAACAGCCTCATTAGCTTTTCAAAAAACATCACCCAATAGAATTAGAATTGCAAAAAGGGGAGGATCACCTGAGTTAACCCTAGCAAAGCTGGCCTCAAAATGGGTTAGCAGAAGACCCAGCCCCCTTATTCCTGGCACAAGTCACTGACTTTAAATACTGAAGACTCCACATCCCTTACAAGGACTTCTTGTCTGGCTGGCCCAGGACCCAGATGAGGCAGTATGGGATGAGACTGGCAGATGCCAGGGGCACTGCTGCACTCTTGCAGAAGGACAGGGCATAGAAGATGAGCTCAATTTGGGATGGGGGTTTCAAAGAGTCAAAGAGGTGCAGAAAAACCAAGGAGGTTAGGATGCAGCTAAGGCGAAAGGGGAGCCACTTGCTGAGTTTGCCCTTACAGCTCTCCTTGTACATACTGGAGTTGAGAGCCAGCCCCAGGCCAAAGAGTGTCCCCATGTTCCTGAAGAGGCTGGCAAAGGGCGTACTGTCGATTAGGACCCATTCTGGCTGTTCACACCATCTCTTGGCTTTCTCCAGAGTCCATAGGAGGTCTACACCCAGCCCCTTTAGCAGCAAGTAAAATCCAATGGCAAAGCTGAACAGGAAGAAGGTAATGAGAGAATATTTCTTGAGACTGGCTTTGTAGATGCTCTGGATGTGGCAGAAAATTTCAGCAACGGCAATGCCTGCGTGGAAAGAGAATGACATGTCATTCTGGACCACCAGCTAGAGGTGGGTTTGCAGTAATGGATAACATGCCATTTGTCCTGCCATTGTGGAATTAAGTCATAACTGTCATGTTAGGGGTAACCTGGTTTATTCCCATGTGCGACTTCAGTCTGTCCTCAGCTATATAAACTTTGTTGGATAGAAAGGTCATGTGTTGTATACTTTCCCACCGTTTGCAAGTTTCCTGCAGGGGGTGGGGGTGTGTGGACAGGGAGGTGGTCTTCTACCTGAACACCCTCTGGGGTGGAGAGTTTACACCTACTGGGGAGCCCATTTCATCTTTAAATGAATTTTATTATTTAGAAGTTCTTTCTTACACAGCTGAAATTTGTCCCTCTCAAATGCCATCTATTGATCTCAGTTCTTTTGGCAGGAGTTAATAAATTGTAAATCTAGCCCCTCTGTAACACATTTAAAGTTAGTTATTCTCTAATCCAAGGAGCTCTGGTGGCATAGAGGGAAAGGCAGTTGACTACTAGCCAGAAGGTTGGTGGTTCAAACCCACCAGCCGCTCTGAGGGAGAAAGATGAGGCAATCTACTTCTGTAAAGATTTACAGCCTTGGAAACTCAAAGGGGGTTGCTATGACCATGGCACTGTGTTATTCTCCAAGCATCCAGCCTTTCACATGAGATGGCTTCCATGTTCTTCTCAAACACGGATCAAATCTTTTGCCATCAAGTCAATTCCAACTCATAGTGACCCTGTAGGACAGAGTAGAACTAACCTGTAGGATTTCCAAGGCTGTATGTAATCTTTAGAGAAGCAGATTACCACATCTTGCTCCCATGGTAGTTTTGAACCACAGACTTTTGAGTTAGCAGTCGGGTGCTTAACCACTGAATCACTAGGGACTCCTCAAACACAGAACCCAAGACTAAATGCAGTGTTACTTTTGTGGTCACTGTGAGACCATTCTCTTCCATGTTCTCAATATTCTCCTTTGAATGCTATAGAGGTCTGCTCTTACTGATCTCTGGAAAAGCAATTCCACAATTTCCCTAAAGTCATGTACTCCAGTGTCTCCCATAAAGTCAAGCAATTATTTATTACACTTAACCTAAATCTTTCTGTCCCTTATTAACTGGATCAAAGAAAATAGATATTCAGAACTCTAAACCTACGAAAGAAGTCAACTGTAGGTTTCTACTAAGTTTGCAAATGAATGTAGTTCCTAGGACATTTGTGTTACATTATTAAATTGGGTAGATTACCTTACAATTAAATTGGGGGCCACTTCCAGGGGAAAATCAGTAAGAAATACAGAATGTAGGAAGCTTGGAGGTTCAAGCTAATTCAATTGGGTAGATTAATTAGATGTATTACACATTTTCTGGATTGCACTTACTTGTGCCAATTCGTCTATAAAAATTAATCATTTCAAATTGTCCACCCTTGACTTTCAACTCATAGAAATGCCAAATTACAAATGCATTGATTACAAACAGAACATGGTCGGAATACTAGGATTTTGTGAATAGGGAGAAACTGAGTAGTGGGGCGTGGGGAGAGGGAGTTGGAGTAGCTGATACCTGATAAGACTCCAGCAACCACCTGATGAGGGAAATGAGCAGCAAGGTAGATTCGAGACAGACAGACGTTTAGCTGCACGGCCCAGAATCCCAACCACAAAATGACATTCAAGCACCTGCAACAGAAAAGACAACCATCACAGAACCCAGATTTCAGCAAAGAATGTTGGAGCCTGCAACCTTAGGTTTCTCCAGTAGAATTTTTTTGTAAGGCTCAAAGATCCAAAGTTCAAGGACACCTAGGGCTCATGGTGAAGCCTTGTGGGTGTGAATTTTGCCTATTGTTTGCAGACACTATCTGTATCTATGTATCTATAGCTCTATGGCAGTGGGTTTGGTTTTTGGTTTATTTTTAACTATTTGCTAATTAAGGATTTGCATAGTGGCTGCATACTCAGAATTCCCTGCAGTCAGAATGGGTATTTCTTTGTTTGTTTTCAGCCTAGATGGGTAACCCCGTGGTTGTTACAGAAATAGGTTTTTAATTTGATGCTGCCATTACTTCACTCCTTGATCTTGAGAAGTTCCTTTAATTCATCAAGCCTAGTTTCTTCATCTGTTAAATAAGGGTGCACTGATGGGTCCATTCCAGCTCTCATCTTCTGTGACTCTGATATTCACCCTCAACAGAAGTGCCAGGACTCTTATCAGCGCCACCCCAGTGCATGAGAATGGGCAGGGGGACTGTGAGGGAGAGGACAGGGTGTTTCAGCTACAGGGAGAGCCACTTCTTGCCCTCTATCAGCCACACCCCAGTGGTGAGTCCTTACCGAAATCTGTAGGTTGTTTTTTTCTTTCCCCGAAAGATAGAGAGGGTGGATGTGACCATCACATAGTATACACCTGCTGTACCCATGGCATGGCCGGAGGGACTCCCTGAAGGACAGAAAATAGAATGGATGGGTGAAAAGTGAAAAGGTCTCCATCTGGGAAACTCCCAGGGGGTGTTATCTAGCCATCCATTTTCCATCCATATTTCCTGTCACCCTTCCATCTATCTACCCACCTTGCCATCCACTCATTTACCATTTACTTCCCACTGGGGGTCAAGGAAGACATCCCAGAGTAAGGGATGCTAGCATGAGACATGAGGGTGAGTGAAAAGTGAAACCAAACCAAATCCATTGCCATTGAGTTAATTCCAACTCATGGTGACCTCATGCAGGTGATTGAAATGTACTGAGTATTCCGACTACCTATCAAAAAATCAAATCTGTCATTTGACTCAACAATACCTATTTGTCTGTTATTAATAAAATGCAGACAGAGTGTAGGATTGGACAGTCAGCTCAGTCTCCCAGATGGAGACATACCCATGAATCAGGCCACTGGACAGGACAGCCAGGGACTCAAGCCTCTACCAGTTTCTCTTCTCTGGGCAAAGGGCCAGGTGCAGTTACTCTCACAAGCTCTTTGTCTGTGGGGGTGCCCTTTCCTCTCTGCCACTAGCAATTTGGATTCTAGAAACATCAAGTAGATTTCTGAAATAACAACATAGTTGGCTACTCAGGAAGACCTTGCTGAAGTGAATTAAAATGGAGTTGGACAAAATAGAAACAGATACCAGAAGCTGGAATGGGTGGCTGTCCTCATGTCCCCTCACAGTGAGCTTCATTCCCCATGAATGTTAATGGGATATATGATTTGCAGATAAGGCTTTGGTGGTTCAGTGGTAGAATTCTTGCCTTCCAAGTGAGAGATACGGGTTTGATTCCCGGCCAGGACACCTCATGAGTGACCACCACCCCTCTGTCAGTGGAAGCGTGTGTACTGCTGTGATGCTGAACAGGTTTCAGCGGAGCTTTTAGACTAAGATAGACTAGGAAGAAAGACCTGGTAATTCTGAAAATTAGCCAGTGAAAACACTATGAATCACAAAGGTCAGATCTGCAACTCATCGTGGGGATGATACAGGCCCAGGCAGCATTTCATTTCATTGTGTGTGGGGTTGTCATGAGTCAGGGACTGACCGATGGCAGCTAACCATAACCATGGAATAAGCAAGGTACACTCAGCTTCTGTGTCTACAGGGCTTGGGACTCTCACCTGGCCCAGTTTCACAGGTGACAGGGAATTGCTTTATCAGGGGCACGGAGCTGTTGCTGTAGTAGTCAGTGTCCAAGACCCACCAGTATGGGCGCTGTCCAAAGAGAATCCTATGGAAAAGCAGAACCAGGGTTCAGAGTTATGGAATGATCCCTTTCCCCAAAGACAGCACTTTGAAAAGAGACAGCAGCTTGAGGAGAAGACTCAAGTGATCCTAACATGATAGCATTGTTTGCCTTCAGAAGGGAGAAGTGAGTGGCTACGGAGGGACATGGGAGGGAGACTTTTCATGGTATAGCCTTTCCATAACTTTTGAAGTTTGAACGATTTGAATATATTACCTACTCAAACATAAATAAATAAATATAAATGAATGGATGGATGGCTACAAGATCCTATCCACATAAATGGTAACTATGTGACTTTGTTTATTTATTTTTTTTAACCCCAAGGAGCATTTTATCCTGGAAGGATGCTCCAAGGAGCATTTTATCCTGGAAGGATGTTCTGAAGATGTGAATCTGCAGTTTGCAACTGGGGTTCCCTCTTTTCTTTCTTCAGATCTTGTGAATCCTGCATTTCCTCAGACACCAGAGAATGCACCCCAGCCCAGAGGAGAAAGCAGCTCCCCAGGACACACAGCCTTCATCCCTATTGGAAGCTTAAAGACATACATAGCTTTAGAAGTTTGCCCTGTGTCCTCTGTACTCTAAAACAATATCTCAGACAAACCACTTCCCCTTTAAAAGTACTGGATATGTTTATACTTGGAGACAGGTGTCAAAGGTCAGTTAGGGCACCTCCTCTACCCTGTGTGGTAGAATAGTGACTTCTCACCAAATTCAGAGACATCTACCAACTCTGATCTCTACACCTCAGACAATCCAGGCATTGTATTCATGGTTCATTAATTGAGTTCAGATGTTTGGAATAACCTTTTTTTTTTTTTTTTAATTATGGTTATGCTACTGAATAAGGGAAATTATAAACAAAATTTAGTAGCTTTGTCACCAAAGATTTCAGGAGTCCCATCAATAAGCCTTTGGCTTCTGAGCCTGGGAACATATATATTCCAAAGGACTTTTATTGTTTATGGCCAAAGACAATTAAAGCTAGAGGAGATCTTAAGACTTGCCTAACAGTAGACAAGATGTAAATAGTTTTAGGGATAGTAAAGGTCTTAGAAGGCAGCTGGTCCAACATCTTTATTTTTAGATAAGGAAATAGAGGCCAAACCAGTGGTGTGCAGGAGTTAGCTGGCACTGGCTAGCAAGAGCCAGTTGTTAAATCTTCAGGATTTTTGCAAGCTGCAACCATCAATAGCTTGAAAGTGTCCATAGTGGGAGTATTTACACCGTGGAAATTGGCAAAAGCTAAAATCAGAACTGTACCTCCCCCCACCAACTGATTTGCCAGCACTGGCTATAACGCAATTCTCAAGAGCATTGCCTCTGAGGCCAGCTTGCCTGGCAAAGATCCTGGCTCTTCCGTGAGCTAAATATGTTGCTGTAGTCATTTAACTCAGTGCCTTGGCTCCTCATCTGTAAAATAGTATAGTAAGTATCCTGCAAAACAGCATTTAGCACATGCCAGGCCCATACTTAGTATTCAATAAATGTTAACTAGAATTATTATTAAGGTCCCAGAGATAATCTAAGTTTACAGATTATAAAATAGAAGCTCAAAAGATGTTGTATGACTTGCCAAGGACACAGAGCTGGTGGTGGCAGAACGAGAGCTGGAGCCCAGTGTCCTGGGCGACTTTTCATCACCCCACACAACAGCCTTTTGAATGATCATTTTCATTCTTTACACATCTTTCTTCTTTCATACATCTATAAGTGACCTGTTGTGCTTCAAGGTAGTAAAACTCTTTCTTTGCTTACAGCTTTAATTCAGACTTCTCACTAAGTACAACTACCTTCCACCCTTTCTATCCATATGAAATAAGCTTTCCAGCATTTTCAACTCACTGTTGGGTTTCTCTATCTTCTGTCATTATATAAATGACCCAAAGTCAGGGGAGAGTAGCCTGTGGCTTCCTGACTAGCGTGAGGAGAGCAGCTTCCATGGACAGTCCTTTCCAGGGAGAAAGCTAGTGTCTTCTTCTGCTCATCTCCTCTCCATCTGATTCTTACTCACCACTTAAAGACGAGGTTGAGCCAGTCTCCAATCACAGCTACCCAGAGAAGTTTGACGCCCACAGCTTCTCGAAGATGGAACCAGATGGGGAAGAGGACATAGAAGGCATTCCTGAGGTCTGCGATCACGGTCACCAAGATAAACCAGTCCTGGGAGTTCTGGTAATTCATTTGGAGGTAGCGTGTTGACTGGATTCCAAAGTCATGGAGAACATTCATGCCTTCCTCTAGCCTCATTCCCTTGGCACCTCAGGAAGCTGTCAGCTGAGCCCTCACAATACTTTCAGGCTTGGTGATAATTGCTCTGCTATCAGCCCGTGCCTTGCCCCTGTTTTATACACCCAGTATCCAGTCTGTAGGTCAACCAGCCCTGATCTTTGGACTCAAAAACCACTTTTGTCTAAAATCTATTGATCAAAGGTGCATCATCAGTAGGTTGATGCAAACATGTTCGGGGTGATTTACGTAAAATAGAAAAACAGGCACACAAAAACAGGCTGATCTGTCATGTACTCAGCAGAGCCAATTATTAACTTGGGCATGCTACTTGGCAGCCCAAGGGGTTGCCCTCCTGGTCTTCCAAACTAGGGCAGAGACCCAGGACAGAGTCTAATTCCACAATGGTTCTTGCAAATGTAACTGGTCCCTGAAGTCTGCAATTGCATGTATTTGGAAACTAAGAATGAAAGTGGTGAAGGCACTGTGCTCTAGTGATTCAAGTTTCAAGTTATTAATTTTAAAATATAATAAATTCAATTTTACTGGGAACTGCCATTCTGCTGGTCCTTCCTTAACTTCATTAGGTTCTAGGAAATGGCTTTGGTTTGAAAGATTAAACTCTCTTCCCAGTGTTGCCCCCATATCTCTTAGGGCCAGAAAAGAATCATCTTTGAATACACTAATTCATTTGATGTCCTCTAAGTTAGGACCTTTGGGTTTTTAATACATAAGTTTAAGCAGTAGCATGAATACGTGAAAAAAGAATATGAATGAGTAGACCTAAATAAGAACACCAGAAAATTGTAACTGGGCACTTTGGAAGAAATATTTGAAATTTTTAGTTATTTTTGAGAAAGAGATTCTGCATCTTGAGCTTCCTTTCAATTGTAGTTAGAGATATGTTGTTGTTGTGTTCTTAGTTGCCTTCATGTCAATTCTACTCATGGTGACATGCATGAGTGAGTGCAGAGTAGAACTGCTTTGGGCCAGTAGACAAGTGCTTAACTATTTCCACCACCCAGAGACTCCTTCTAGAGAATGTATATATGTACATATATATATTGAGAGAGGGGAGCTCTGGTAGCATAGTGCCTAAGGCATTTGACTGCTAACCAGAAGGCTGGCAGTTCAATCTCACCCGCCACTCCTCAGAAGGAAGATTGGGCAATGTACTTCCATAGAGATACCTCCTTAGAAACCCAAGGAGGGGTTGCTATGAGTCGGATGGACTCAATGACAGTGAGGTATTTTTTTTTCTTTCATGCAGAGAGAGGGAGAGCGCATTCTGGTGCCATAGTGGGTAAGACATTTGGCTGCTAACCAGAAAGTCAGTGGTTCAAACCCTTCAGCTGTTTCACAGGAGGAAGATGAGGCAATCTACTTCTGTAAAGATTTACAGTCTTGGAAACCCAGTGGGGGTTGCTATGAATCAGAATTGACTTGACGGCAGTGTGTGTGTGTGTGTGTGTATATATATATATACACACACACATACACACACACATATATATGATTTTATATATATATATATATATATATATATATATATATATATATATAAAAAAAACAAAAAAAAAGCAACGCACTGCCGTTGAGTTGGATGTGACTCATAGCGACCCCTCCTTGGGTTTCCGAGGTAGTATCACTATGGAAGTAGATATTGCCCAACCTTCCTTCCGAAGTTTGAACTGCCCTTCTGTTAGCAGTCAAATCCCTTAGGCAGTACACCACCAGAGCTCCTATATATATGTGTGTATATGTGTGTGCGTGTACACACACATACTATATATATACACACACACACACACATGTATATATGTTTATATGTATTTAACTTTTAAAACCACCAGGAAAAAAATGCAATTCAATTGCTATGACTGCAGACAAGAAATAAATAAAACTAACAAACACCAGGTTACGAGAGGCCACACTGTCTGCCCGCCTGCAGGAGCAGAAACCAGCCTACAGCAGTGGAGAGAGCAAAGGCCTCAGGCTCAGGTCACCTGGGACTCTGAAGGGAGTAGAAGAGTGTATGGGGGATGAATTGATGCATTTTCAAAGAAAACAGTCAGGGAAGAGAAAACTTTTTAAAAATGCACCTGAACTTCCCATCATTAAGTCCATACTGACTTGTAAGGGATAGTAGTCTGGGAACAGGGGATTATAGCCAATGAGACTGTAGCAAATGTTGACAGCATTCATGTTGGAAATTATTAAAACATCATCCATAACATTTGGGAACAGATAATGGTGATGGTAGCCCTACATGATGAACACAATTAATGTCATTGAATTGTATATGTGAAAAATGTTGAAATGGCAAGTGTTTTGTTACATACATTTTTACCACATGTTATGGATTGAGTTGTGTACCCCAAAAAATATGTATTGTAATTTCCTAATCTCCATGCCTGTGGTTATAATCCCATTTGGAAATGGGTTGTCTTTGTTAAACTACTGAGGCAGGACTAAAGTAGTCTGTGTTTTGAGTCAATCTTTTTTTTTCTCTTAACTTTTTGTTGTCGTTTGGGTGAAAGTTTACAGAGTAAATTGATTTTCCATTCAGTAGTTCATATACATTTTATTTCATGACATTGACTACAATCCCCAGAATGTAACAGTACTGTTCCCACTTCCCTCTGTCCCTCTTTCCTATCTATTCGTGCCTTCTGAGCTTTACCTCTGGGCATATGCTGCCATTTTGATCTCTTCTGTTTGGCTGTTCTGAGAAGTGCATACCTTCCTGGTGTTATTGTTCACATTGTAGACCTATTATTTGGTTGAAAGTTGAGCCACAAGAGTGAGTTCAGTTCCAAGCCTGAGGGTGACTAAGGGTCATTGTCTCAGGGGTTCCACCAGTCTCTGTTAAACCAGTAAAGTGGTCTTCTTTTTATTATTTTGATATTTGCTCCACATTTTTCTCCCACTCTGTCCAGTATGTCCTATTTTGACCCTTTTCAAAGTGGCTGGCAGTAGTACCTGGGCACCATCTAGTTCTTCTGGTCTCAGGGTTGTGGATGCTGAGATTCATGTGTTCCACTAGTGCTTGGACTAATTGTTTCCTTGTGTCTTTGATTTTCTTCACTCTCCTTCGCTCCAGATAAGGAAAGACCAATAGTTGCACCTTAGATGACCACTCACAAACTTTTAAGATCATGGTCACTACTCCCCAAAGTAGGATGTAGAACATTGTCTTTGTGGACTCTGTTATGCCAATTGACCTTAATGTCCCCCATGAACTGTGGTCCTATGCTCATAGACCCAGCAACCCACTCCCTCAAGGTGTTTGGTAAGTCAATCCCTTTTGAGATATAAAAGAGATTAAACAAGCAAGTGAGAGAAGCAGAGATGAGATGAGATAGATGCTAAGACACAGGGAGATCTTCAAGGGGCCAGGAAGCAGAAGCTGAAGAGACAAAGACATTCCCGCAAAGTTTATGTATAGAGAAAGCCACTGCTCTGCATTTGGACTTCTAGCCTCCTAAACTGTGAGCAAGAACAAATCTGGACTAGAAGTGCAGCTGGAATTGCTCCTCGCAAGCGAGAATGGCCAGATTTCATCTCATGTACTTTGGTCATGTTGTTCGAAAGGACCATTGCCTGGAGAAGGATATCATGCTTGGTTAAGTAGAGGGTCAGTGAAAAAGGAGAAGACCCTCAGTGAGATGGATTGGCACAGTGGCTGCAAAGATAGACACAAGCATAGCAAAGATTGTGAGGACGGCACAGCATCGAGCAGTGTTTCTGTTGTACATTGGGTCACTATGAGTCATAGCTGACTCGACAGCACCTAACAACAACGAACCGTGAAGAAATAAATTTCTGTGTGTTAAACCCACTCACTTGTGCTATTTCTGTTATAGCAGCACTAGAGAACTAAGACACCATAACTGAAAAAAAAAGAAAGATCATCCAAGAGGTGTGATCCAGAGTCACATCCCCAATCCCCCCACTCTTGCTGAGCTCAGGCTGACTCCAATTGCCCTTGACCACATTGTTTCTGTTGGTCCAAACAACCCTAGGGTGACCTACCATATCTGTCATGGAGACTGCATAATGATGATGTTAGAGCTGGTGGTGACGGGTAGGCTGCAAAGGGCATGTGTTTAGCAGTATTGGAGGCAGAGGGAGCTTCATCACTGTCAAGACTGCTGAGCCACAAGCCGTCAGCCCCACCAGAAGAGATGGCCCCCTCCCTCTACCCAGGTAAGCTTTCCTCGAAAGTATTGAGTAACTCCTGAGTGACCCCTGGGGCCTGGAGTTTCTATGGTCTCAGGGGAGGTGAGGGTAAATAGGGCAGATCTACTGGTGAAATATCCAAAGGCCACTCTGAGTCTTCGCAGGGTTGCTAGGAGCCAGAGTGTCTTGCATCTGGTAGATTTCCATCATGTGCTCAGCATATGGGGAGCATATGGAGAGCCCTATCTCCTGGGGGAGCCTTGGGTAGAAGGCTTTGTGCTGATAAGGTGTTATGATGGAGCTGATATCACATTCTGGGCAGCAACTGTCAGGGAATCTCTGAGGCAGGCTGCCCTCCAGGCAGAGGACCCTCCTTGGTCACAACAACTGCATATTCCAGGAGACTATTTGCTACTCTCCGCCTTTCTACCTCCCAGCTCCTTTCTGCTTCCTCCAGCAATTTTTTATCATGTGTAGAAAGAGGTGAGGCCCCAAAGGACCTGTGCCTGCTAGAAAGCTGACTGAAGGAAGAAAACTGTGGAGTTATCAAACCCTCAAAGGTCTTGTGATATTTGAGGTGAATATTGTAGATGAAGCGAGAATGGCCAGACTTCGCCTCACCTACTTTGCTCATGTTGTCAGAAGGGACCATTCCTTGGAGAAGAGTATCATGCTGAGTAAAGGGGAGGATCAGTGAAAAAGGGGAAGGCCCTCAATGAGATGGATTGACGCGGTGGCTGCAATGGTGGGCTCAGATATAGCAAGGATTGTGAGGCTGGCACAGGATTGAGTAGGGTTTCGTTCTATTGTACATAGGGTTGCTATGAGTCGGAGCCGACTCGATGGCACTTAACAACAACAACATTGTAGATGAAGCATTTGAGTTGCTGGAGATTTTGCTGAGAATC